CAGAATGAACAGTTTGATGAAGACTACAAGCAGAAAATGAAGAATCCTGATCTAAAGTTTCGTTATGAAATTTAGATCCCCAGCTGGGTGTGATGGAACTCTGCACTGATATGTGATTAAAGAGTTAAGAAATAAGCCAAATTTGATATGAAATTTAAACAAACTAAATTTCAGGTAGGTGATAGAGAGCTGTGGCAGAGTTCACAACCCTGAGCTGTCCTGCAGAAATGATAAATTCGACAGAACAATTTCCAGAAACAGTACCAACTTATATATGATAGCTTCCATTCTTTAAAAAATGATGGTCAGGTATGATTTGTCTGACACCGTGTGTTATCATATATGGATATTATACTTTTGGCTTTTCTGCACCTTCATTCTGCTCAGTAACATGTTTTAAACTTTGTTAAATAATGGCAACTTTGTGGTATGCTGTAAAGTTAACCCATTATCCTCATATCAGCACACCTTTTTAAAACCACTTTCTGTTTAAAGGCGATTCTTAGTTTTATTCTTACAAGATCCAACTAAACTCAAATAGGAGAAATTAAAAAGGCAAACAACAAACAAAAGTCTAGGTGTTCAGGGAATGATGTAAAAATTCGTTAGGGCACTAATACTCATGAAAGGGGTCAGTTTTACATATACATTGAAAAGGCCTTTACTTTCCCTCAGCATTAGGGAGTATTTTAACATCTAATAACTCTTTCTTTAACCTCAAAACATTGATTCAATTCAACTGGACACAGTGGTTTTATCACTGAAGAATATTTAGTGAAAACTTCATTTTAAATTTTAGAAAGAAAGCTATATTTGTATTTAGATTATTGAATCCATTGAAATTGCAGTTTCTAAAAGATTTATAATTTTTTTATTTGTAATTAAAAATATTTTTGCAATAAGGTTTTATTGAGAGTGTAATACTTTTTTTTATGAAATCCATTTTTTGATTTGAAGAATACTTTTTAATGTCAACAAGACTTTTAAAGAGAAATAGACCAATGGGTATCCTTCCTTTTGGGGAAGGAAAATGTCAGAACCAGTATACAAATTAAAATAAAATGACAGTTCATGTGATGAACCACAAGGTGTTACAAGGTGTGTATGACTCTGGTTTTACGTGGCCTATCAACACAATTTAAAAACTGGTATATATCACCTTGTTGCTTTGTCATCTTTGTTGTGTTTACATACACTGCTAAGATGGTGAAGGGTTGCTTACAAGGGGGACTGAATATGAACATATACTCAGTTACCAGTAGGGGGCTCTGTGACTAAGAATGATGAAAAAAGAGAGAAGAAGTGAAGTGTATAGTGAGATGTAAAATGGTGAACTACTTCTGAATATATACGTTCCATTACAAACCAAGCCGTCTCCGTTCTTCTGTCGAAACACCACAA